AGAACTTTATATATATATATATATATATATACACACACACACACACATGAATGAGATGGAGGAGAACAGTTCTTGGTCTGGGCAAGAAAGGATTAATAGAAAAAATTTCAGATGCCTAGACATTTTATCAAATTTTGAGAAGTGGGTTGAATCAAGAACTCAACACCCCATTGTGTTTGTATAACATAGATAATACATCTGGAGCAAGTGAATTTCTAGGAAATCAAACTATGGAACTTATGTCCTGAAAAATATGAGAAAATTTTGCATGGATCAAAGAGAAGAGCTAAAACCACATTTGAACAGAGAGAAACCATTTCTTTATGGAAATTTATTTAAAGGTCTTGTACCAAATTTATATCAAAAGCCAACAGATGCATAACATGAGAGAAAATCTACAATATGCAGCCATTTATTTAGGAAATTTGTGAATTGAAAAGAATCACAATACTTTTCTGGGAAACATTTTACAAAAATGTCAAAACATTTAAGAAAAAAAAAATGTAGGATTTTATTTCAAGTTAAAAAAAAAAAATCTACAAAATATCAAAAAAAAAAAAAAAAAAAATTCTATAGGAATATAAAAATATCTCCGCCCTGCACTTTAAAATGCTAAGTAAAAATCTAAAGCAATGTTAGTATTATTCTAATTAGTCATCATTATTATAACTGTTCTTCACATAAAGTTTATCTGATGAACATAAAATTACACAATTGACAGTTTGCATTAATTCACAAAGAGGATGACGTCAACAAACAAGAGATTTTATGAATGATAAAAGCAAAATATTGATTTCTTGCTAATGTTCATTATATATATATATATATATATATATATATATATATATATAATTTTGTATCTATAATACTGTAATCAATATTGTTATATTTCTTTTAAAAATGTACAAACAAATCCCTGAAGAATTTTCCAGATTCTGATACTTGAATATATTGAACATTTACCGAAATTATTCACAAACTAACAAATTCTATGTGTCAAAATTGTGGTTACTGCAAGATAACTATAGGAATTAATTAAACTTAACTACAACCAACTTCAACAACAATTAAAGAAATTAAGAACATTTTTATTCAAGCTCGTTAGGATTTTAACAGATAATTACAAATAGTTAGTAATTATTTTCTAATTTAATCAATTTTTGTCATTAGTTGTTGAAGTGTTTTAAGAGAATGATGCGACCCAGATAATTTTGATCTTACATTTTGAGCCAATTAGAAAATGTTCTGACTTTCCTATATTTTACTGCAATTTGTTGGCACTTTTTGAGGTATGGAACGCTATTTTAAACTAAGCTTTAATCAAAGAAAGAAAATTGTCTTATTTTATACAATGAATGCAAATGTTTTCAGGGAAAAACAGTTTCCAATTTCTCTTGCTCTCTTTCATATATATATATATATATATATATATATATATATATATATGAGAGAAAGAGAAAAAAAAGGGTGTTTTGTGTATCTTATATATCATTAATAACACAATTTATTCATTGCAAATGAATCCGGTTTCATTAAATCTTTTCAATAATACCTAGAGAGAAAATCTTGTAAATAGAAAAATAAATTTACAACATATGGAAGGTTTTTTTGGGTTTTTTTTTTTTTAATTATTATTGACTAAAGTAACTTCAAACAGTAATTCCTTTAAAATTTTAAATATTCCACATTTTCAGAAATTAAAATCTTGAAGAGAACACTTACATGCAAACAGACTCCTTTTATTTTACAGAAAGGATACATATTAACTAAGTTATTTACATGCAAATTATTGTTCTAATCTTTGTGGTTGTTATCAGGTTTCAACCGTTGTGCTCTTCAGTCTTCATCAGGTGTATACTGATCAGGGAATTCTGAATTGAACCCTTTATTTAATCCACAAGTGTAGACCTTGTTCCACTGTCCATGTCTAGGGATATCTCGTTTAGTTCTTATTTTTAGTACTGCTCAGTTATTTCCACTACCCAGCCCAGGTATTGAACTCAAAATTACTATGTCATCAAATACATTAACCAACGTTTTAATCCTCTAGACTATTGTTCTCTGTAGAGAACTTGGAACCTTAACCTGCCTTCTGATGAGTGCACCCAGAAATTCAGATAGAAATTAATTAAAAGTTGTTCAGAGTACAAGACCTGTAAGTTTTTTGTTAAGACTATCAATTACAGAGACCAACTCTTGATTAGATCAAATGTTAACACCTAACAAAAGTAAAAATACAGCCAAACATTTTTAACACTCAGAGAAAAGTGAATAACTTGTCTGGTTACTTTGCTTATTCTAAAAATGAATAGGTTATCTAAGACATTGTAATTGAGACAGTGAATTTAAGAAAAAATTCAGTGCAAATTCTTACAGGGAGCATAAATTTGTATGGTTTAAGTAAAACTAAAAAGAGAGCAGAAAACCTGTTTTTAATAAAAAAAAAAAAATAATAATGTCTGAAACCTTTTTATAATAGTTTCTGTAGAAAAATCAATATGCATGCAAGTATCTATACTTTTTATCCCAAACAATGATTGAATTTTTTAATCAGATTTTACTAACACACCTTAGCTTAAGTGAAGTCTCCCCAATAATTTATTAATTTAGGAAGCTTATCTTTTTCATGAATTTAGTACTTATTCATCTATACATGTACACATTAAGCGTCCGTGTTGAAAAGTTCTCGGCCTGACCTACTTAACCAAATTTGATCAAACAGAATTTTGGAGTGAAGAATTTCATGGTGAGATTGAGAACTTCTCAACAATCTCTCGTCCTTTTTTTGAGTTGATATATCCACATATTATTCAAAAAATACTATATGAAAATTCTTAAAGTTTTTTTTTCTCTTGGATTTTGGTAAGTTCTTCAAAATATTGTATTCTTTTTGTATTGAATATTTTTCGTTGCCTTAAAAATGGTCTTGCTAGAGTTGAAAGACGAAAAAGAATTACAAAAAGATTCTAAACCTCAATAAATTTCTCCCTTAAAACACGGAAAACCTTAAAAATTCCCTTGATTCCAGGAACCATTTTTGGTACGTATTTTTGTGGTATTGAAAAAATTTCTAAAAGTAAAAAGTATGTATTTGTTTAAAAAAGCTTCAACAAGAAATCGACAAACTGTGGGGAAAAATGACAACCTAAACATTTTTTTTAAATTAGTTCAAAAATTTACATTTTTAAATTTTAAAACTCGTTTGTAATTGGAGTTAGTTTGACTGTTTGAATAGTTCTCTGTTTTGCAGCGGATATTTTTAATTTTAAAATGAATTTTTTTGTGCATTAATTTAAAGATTATTCAAGTAAAGTGAATAAAGAAAAAAAGTAAAAGCAAAATACCTTTTTTCTACCAATTTTTGACATTAAATCATTTAAAGTTGTTTTTCTTAAGTATTTATTTTCTACTAAAAATAATTAGTCTTTAAACGCGCAATCCGAGTCAAATGTTGCTAAGTTTTTAAAATGATGATATTAATCATGGTAAAGCTACGACAAATAAATCTCATTTAGGAAAATCAAAACATAATTTTTTTTTTTTTATCATTTATTATAAAAGAAAAACAGTGTTTAAGGTTAAAAATAGGGAATTTGACAAATTTCAGATAAAAAGCCAATTATGACAAGTTCCCTATTTTCAGAATTCTATCCTGAAGACAACAAATTTTATAATGAGAAGATAGTGAAAAGTTTTCGGCTCAACAATCAAAAAGCCCTTCAATAAATAATAATTCTGATGATGTTTGGTCAGATTTATTTCCAGAAGTGGGCTGGACTGTGAACTTTTCAGCACCACTCGTGTGTGTGTGTGTATCAAACAGTAATGAAATTGTTTCTCCTATCTATACTAGTTGCATTTAAAAACAGAAAAAAAGAGGATTAATTAATCGATTGTTCAGGAGCTTTGATTTATCGATTCAAATGGTGCTCCTCCTCTTTGAGATGGCCATTCATTATTAGTTAATATTTCAAAGACTGACTCAACAACCAGAGCTAAAATTAAAAATACAATAATTGTATTTTTAATGATTTTATTTTTATTTAAATTTTAACATCAGAATTCGTAAGGTGTCCACTTATTCAATTTATTCGTAATCTCAGATTAAATCTGATCATAAATTCAGTGGCTGACTTTCAATTACCGAGTTAAAACAAAATATTTTCTTAAAAAAACACAGTAAATTCTGTTTCTTTAAAGTTTAAAAAATGCAAATTATTATTAATTTGTTCTCTGTTGAAAACAATTTTTTTAAACTAAGTGACTGTTTCAGTACAGTCGAGTTACACTACTTTTATTTGTTTTATGCAGCAAGTTTTTTTTTTACAATTAATTTAACTTCAGTTTTTACGTCCATTCAAAACCTGATCATTCATCAAAAATAAAATAAGGTAAAAAACTGATTTCTTAGTAGGATATTCATTTTAAAAAATGATTGAACAAATTAATGTTGTCCTTTTTGCGCAGAGAATTAAATAAACAACTTAAAAATAATAAAAAGTAAAAACCAATGAGACAATAATTGGAACCTTTTTAAATTTTAAGTTTGGCTTTGACTATTTTTAAAGTTTAAAAATAGTCAAAGACAAACTTTGTTTTTAACAAATTTAAAATGAAATATTATGCAAAGACTTTTGTTTAAGATGTTAAAAAAAAAAATGTGCCGGGGTGGGAGAGAGAAAAAAATAAGAGTTCAAGTACTTCGCGATTTTTTTTTTTTTTTTTTTTTGTTGTTGTTTTGCACACCCACAATATACCAAATCAGGAACTTCTTTCATTTACTCTTCTCAGTCTTAATTTTAAATTTAAACAGATCTGTTGCATAAAACAAAAGAATTGCATTTAGGAGATGTTTTATTTATTTATTTTCGTCATATAAACCCACTCAATACAACAAAATCGAGTGCTTCTCTTAGTGTAAAACAAGTGCACGTTACTAGAACTTAGAGTTTTTTCCTCCTTAAAGCTTTTAGTTTTACAAAATAAAACTTTAAACTTACCTTGAACATTTTCTTTGTCCACTCTAATTATCGTCGGTCTTTTAGGTATTGCAGGGATGCCAGCCTTGATAATGGGGGTACTCACGGAGTTTGTATCTTGCAGTTCCGTAGATGTAGCAGAAGTTGTCATCGTGTTATTATCAGAGATAGAGACGGACATGGTCGATCCATCAAGACAGATTCCCTAAACCACAGGGAGACAGGAAACATTTAAAACGGAAACAAGTGTCAGTGACTAAGGTTTAAAAAAAAGAAAAAAACTCAATGTTCGTCTCTCACTGACGGTGGTACTTATTTTCGATGTATAACTTTATATCACATACACTATCATGCGAGAGTGTTTTAAAAATCTATCTGTGTGTGTGGGCGCCCTGTTAAGAAACCCTTACTGTTATGTTTACATGTCAGATGCGGTTGCTTTGTTTCTTTCGATGATTCTTCAGCTGCTGCTGCTGTTGTTGTTGTTCCTCTTCTTCTTCTTCTTCTCGTTGTGTGCGTAACTACTTGTCACCGAGGCTGAGGCCGGTGTTTTTATTTTTAACATCCTCGTTGCTCCTTGGGAAGTTAATTTGCGGAGAATGAGAAGCTAAAAATGGAAAAAGAGGCTATGAAGAAGAATAATTGAGCCATAGACCGGACGATGAAAACACACACATAGACATATATAAATATCTCAACACTTCCGGTCCGGTCTCGTGCATGATTTTTTTTTTTTTTAACATAGTATTTATCACTCGTTTATATTTAGTTTACCACTGTAGCAGCAAAGTTCGCGCTAACGATTTAGGCAAAAACAGTTTGAGGCGTGTTGACAATTTAGATTTTTCTTTCACTTTTCAGACTTGAACCAAAAACAAGATTTTTTTAAACTTTAAAGAAACAGAATTTACTTATAAATTGTAAACCACTTCTTACATTTTGGCTGTTGTATCAAAATACAAAATTTTAAAATAGATTGCAAACTTAGTTAAACATGAAAAAATGTAATGAATCTTTTGAGATTCTGTGAACAGGTACTTTTTAAGTTTCAGGCGAGTCTTTTGCAAAAACTATGAATTTGTCTCTTCTCCGTGTAAAGTAAACCATTTCACATAAAAATTCATGACAGTTCCCAGATAAAGAATAGGAATTTATGGAGAATCCTAATCACCTATGTTCTGAAATGACATGACATCATAAGACAAAAAATAATTTGAGTTATTTAATAAGCTTTTAACTTTAGCACAAGAGAACTAGGTGGTTAGCCAGTTCAGTCCAAACTCACAAATGTCAAACATACATGCTAATCATTGTGTTATATTAGGCACCCAAGACTTAATTAGTCTTTCATAACTTCTCCATGAAATGTTAAAGTCTAGTTGTTTTAATAATTTCATTATATTTTTAATTATTAAAGAGGCAGACCAGCAACATTAGGTTTAAGGCTCTAAGTTTCCACCACTGAATTGTCATCTGGGATATGTGATTTTATTGGATAAAAATCCTCAAATCATTGAACAATTCCTGCCTATGAAGAATCCTTGGGTTACATTGGCAGGATAAAGTACTGTCAAAATTTGGAAGCATTCACAGTCAATTACATGCAGAATGTTTCTTCTGCTATCATCCCAAATCTTTTCATATATGATACTTGTGGAAAAGTGGGCCATGTTAGTCAAACCAGCCACACAAGAAGCCATCCACCATGAAGAGAACTGGATGACTGTCTGAAAAGATGGTTTACAAACACAAGTGCATAAAAGCATTAAATGGATTAAGTTACCTAGTGGTTGTGACTTCAACTACTACATTGGTTAATGCAAAGTTATATTCTTGTTTACTAGAAGAGACAAGTGACATCACAAGTACAAATTAACTGATATAAAATATCCTTTTAGCATAGACAGTAGAATTAGAACAATCTCCTTCCATCAATTGAATAATTTACTTTGGTCAAAAATGAACATTTAAAACATATATAAAACAATGTACTAATGTGACAAACTCATGAATCAAATAACTTCTTTTACTCATCAATACAATTAGTCATATTAATGTCTTTCTGCTTTCACTACATATGAATGAGAAAATGAAGTAAATGTCTTATAAAATAATGGTCTAAAATAGAGCTTAATTTAATTTGTGTATTATTAAGTGCCTAATAAAAGCAGGGGACATTTTTAGGACACCACTCCCAGCTTATTATTTTTTTTACTAATTTGGCACTTTTGATGATTTTCTGAAACATTTATATTAAGGCTCCTACCTGTTTATTGCATACTGAGAAAAATTCCAACCTCCACCAATTATTACCCTTCCATATTAAGCACCTATGAGTATTGAATTGGTCATCAAATTTTTTGCATTGTCTTTATTGTAGAAAGGTCATAAAAAAGATGATCTGCACTAAAAACATTCTATAACTGTTCTCAAATATACATGGCAAAGTGAAGCAAAAAGTAGCTGTGTATTTTAATTACAACTTGTGCTTAGTATTCAAGGATACTGAATGCTGATTTTCAAGGCAGACAGCCTTCCCCACTTAACTTCCAACACCAATGTCATGAAACCAAAGTAGCAAATGACAGAATTGTAAAACTATTGGTACTCTTTTACTATGTATTTAAATAAATTTTACATTTAAAATTTAAATTTGATTTTAATATAAAAAGCGAGTCTTGGCAAAAAAGAGACTATAAAGTCTAGAAAAAATAGTTTTTAATTTTCTTCTTTTGTGCACAAACAAGAAATATAAAATGATACATTTCTTTAAAATAAACTTAAAAGTTGTTATTATAAGAAAGGGGAGATAAGAACTTCAGTTTCTTAGTAAAAAAAAAAACCCCAAAAACCTTGTCTTTGTATTATGAAAGTAAGCTATCTTTTGAATTGTATTAGAACAAATGATAATGACTAACTATAGCGAATGTACCAATAATCTAAAAATCCCAAAGACAATTGAGCTATTTTTAAAATGTCTAACTTATGTACATATATAGAAATTAAGAAACAGATTGATGATAAAATATCTCAGGTTATTTTTTAAATGCAAATTTATGAGAATCAATAATTTTCAAGCCAACATTGACAACATATTAAAACTTGTTATGGTTATCTCATAAGATTTCATATTGTAGCCATAGAAGCATACAACTTAATTCCATCCATTTTCTTTATTCTTAACTCCTTCTTGAACTTCATTTTACACATTACTTTCTTATTTTGCCTTTTTGTGTATAGATGACTTTTTTTATAGTATAAAAGGCTCCACATAAACAATATCTATCAATAATTCAACTTTCTAAAACTATTTACTTGGAACATTAAAGCAATACACTAATCTTGCATTAATTATAGAAATTCATTATAAAAAAACATTCATATTGTTTTCCTTTAATGAATTTAGTCTATTTTGGTAAATTTTGATAGCTGAAGGAAGGTAATATGCAAAACCAATTTCTTTTCATTAATGCTTTTGGTATACAAATTATTTAAAATTTTCTGATTCCTCATTGGTTATATAGAAAATTTCCTCAATCACTACAAACTTTCTTGTTACTTCTCTTTTAATAGGTATTCATAACTGGCCAATAAAGTCTTGAACTTGAGAGATGACTCATAGCCCCACAAAAAATAAGGGGAGGGGGGTAAATCACATGGAAATCATCGGGGAGGGGGACTAAATCAGGTGTTAAATTTTAAAAGCTTCACATTTTTTTTTGATTTGATCTCATAAAATGAGATTTGTTTTTTTGTTTTTTTTAGATGTGTTATCCTACTTCATTTTTTTTTTTAGACTTTAATTACAATTTTTTTTGCCTGTTTTTATTTTCTAGAATGCAGACTTTTTTGTGCCCATAAAACATAAGTTTTAGAAGCTAATGCTTTGAAAAAAAAACAAAAACCAACAACAGTAATGATTTTGGACAGATGATACAGCTCCAATAACATTATCAGAAGACAAATTTAATCTTGTTTAATTCTCAGTTTCAGGAAAAAGAGAGGAGTGTTGAAGTCATCTAACCATTTGTCACCAGTATTGTAGATGCAAAACTTTATCAACTGTATAAAGATTTTCACCTTCAAAATATATGTTTATGATTTGAGAAGTGCTGATGCAAACTATGCCATATAATCTTTAATTTTTCAACATAAATAATAAAATATCTATTTAAAGCAGATGAGATACTGTTTGTATACATTGGTTCAATTTTAAAAAATACATATTTGTTACATATTCTAATTAATTGTAAAAATAATTGATTTCGTAAAAAATGCGTAATATTATTAAACATTAATTATCTATTACCAAATGTAAATTTCCCTCAAATAAAAAGTGAACAAATTCAAAAACTGCTTTTACTCTGTATTTGTAAATTATGCATTGATAACATTTCATAATTGTTTTACATGCTTTACTCTTAGTAAAAATTATTTGCTAAGCTGAGGCACGGTATGAGACATCTGAGAGGTGAGTTCAAATTCTAGTTGGTTTGTTACCTTCATTTACACGTAAATATCCTTGGAAAAGGTATGAATCCATCTTCATTCCTTGGCTATGGGTTAAATAGAAAAACTTCCATTTGGAAAAGAATCATTGTTATTCTGTAAGAAATTGTTAATGCAATATTCTCTTGCAAAAAGAATTTTTATTACAATCCAAAATATTTTCCAGCTTTTCGAAAGAGAATACATGTTTTACTGTTATTTACCTAGAGGGTTGATAAGCCATAAAAAAAACAAATCAGTCAATCAATAGGCTAGAATATATTCAAGTTTCAATACAATATAAGTACAATTTCATAGTTCTCATTGAAGCAGCTCTTTGTTGCTTGAACCCATATAAAAGCCAATATTTCAAATGTTTACTTTATAAGCTAATATGTCCTACTCACTTGAAAGACTGATGCAATACAACCTTTCTAATGTATCACCTAATTATTGCATACATTCCAATATAACCAAATTGTATTTTGCCAAAAAAGATTTTGACCAGGATATTTCTGTAATTATTTTGCAATCAAGTCAAGAGTGGATGTAATGTCTATCAAACTCAAAGTAGACAAATAAAGTGAATATTTAATTTAATTATATTCATATATGTAATAATAATAAATTATCATTATATGCCTTGCTATTCAGACTAGCATGCTCAGTGTGATTTTTATACTCACAATACTTCAGCCATTGCATCCTCTGGCCTTCTTCAAATGTCCTTGTACTCAGTAAACTTCACAGAAGTTTGAACTAAACCCTTCACTGGGTTGATTGTTCTAATTGTTTTCCAGGGGAGATAACTCATATCAGTTAATGCTCACCAACCTTATTCACCATCGTGTCCTTTGCAAGATTCTTCTACTTTTCGGCATTATCAGTCTCAGGCATTGAACTTATAACTGTCAGATATTTGTTTTAAACACTTTAACGCACTAGGTCACATACCTTGTGGACAGTCAAGTAGCGTAATGCTGAATCCTTAAAACTGATATATATGTATTCAGATGGTGGAACTGGATGAGTGTCCTGACTCAGTGAAATGTTTTTAAGTGATTTTTCTTTCTTGATTTAACAGATGATGATTAGCATTAGAAAAACATTTTTTTTTTTTTTTGAGCACTTCACTCCAAGCAAGGCGGGATGCCACTAGTACGCAGGGGGTTAGAGTGGGGAGCAAAAGTAAAGAGGTGTGATGGAGGAAAGGATGAAAAGAAGGGCCAGGGATAGTTCAGGGCATCTGTAGACGTTGATTGACATTACATTTGAATAACAAAATATAAGGTAAATATACAAAATCTGTCTGAGATATACAGGTGGGGGGGTGCAAAAGTAGGTATACAATAAAAAGAAGAAAAAAACCACAAAAATAAACGTTTATAATGCATTGTATTAATTATACAAACATTATTATCAATAATGGTATTATTTACTGCATCCCCCTGCATCTCTACAAAACCAAGAACTGTGCATTCAATTCCATAGAGTTGTAAGGATGAAAGAACATCAAAAAGTTGCAGTCTGCTAGCTGATTATATATGAAAAGGAAATGGTGGTCATCAACTATTGTGCCATGAAATCAAGATAACAGAGAACAACACTGTAGAATAAGAGAGCAAAAAAAAAAATCAGCGCAAATGTTAGGCACTGATAATCTCTTTGCTAGACCCAGCATAGTGATGAATATTAACTGGGAGGCACTGATTAAGGTTATATTTACTCTCACAAATGGTAGGATGAATAAACTTAAATTCAACTTCAAAGAACACCAGAAGCCGTGGAAGGGGAGATAACTTAGATAGGTTATGCTGACCTCCAGGTTATTAGAGGTTAATTTTGAATGAAAATAGCTTTTCTTCAGCCAAATGAAAAGGAACCAAAAAGGCTAAAATTTTCTTGATTTATTTCTAAAACATCTTGCACCACAGAAAAATGCTTTCAAATAAGTTTTCAAGATTAAAACTTTTTATTGGTTTTAAGCATAAAAACAAAAGACGGAAACTACTAATGGTTCTGTAAACAATGCATTTTTGCGCCAAAGAATTAAACTCAAAGTTATTGCAACAAATTCCTGTTGGCACAGTTCTGGTCAGTTCAGTAAGCTGTTCAGAATTCAACTGACTTTTTTTTCTTTTTTTTTTAAACTTTCTTGATATGCCTGGTGTTCCTCTCCATAGTCTTCAAGTGAAACCTGAAGTGTTCATTGGGTTTTTCTGAAACCATGACCCTCGAAAGAGAATACGTTTTACTGTTTTATGTTGTATTCACAAAAAATAACATACATCATAATATATAAACAGTAAGAACCAAGTTTAAGAAATATGAAAAAACAAATAACACCCATTATTATGCACCGATATAGTCAAGCTAGTGTCTCAATTTTTCAGCCTTTGTACCTTCTGACCTACTTCAGGTAACTGTAAAAATTGGTAACCATACCCCCCCACACTCTTTCAGAGGTGCATGTGATTTAATGCATAATTCAAACTTATTGAGAAGGTTTGTGTTTACTTTGAATTCATAGACTTGGGAAACATGAATTCTAGCATCTACCACCACCACTATGGGTAAAGACAGACAGCCTTACAAGTGATTCGTATTTGGCATCTGATAATAGGTCATGGACCATTTTCTGCTGTTGGTACTCTTACAAGCCATTACATGTCATATCACTTACAGGTACTATAGCCTCCATTGCAGTGAAAACGAAAATATGCCATAAAAAGAGAATTACTCAGCATGTCAATAGGTCATGGAAAACAATCAGATCCTCATTATTTTTAAAATAGCTAGCATAATTAAAACAGGAGAATATACAATATATCTAACACTTGTGTATGTGAACTTGTCTTTCAGGAAACTTGGAAAATGATTCCAGATATCATGGAGCTCATTCATTTTTTTTTTTTTTTTACTTATTACAATTTAGCCAATCCTTTCTTTGAGTGTACAATTCATATGGAAAGAGAAATGAAAATGGGTAGACAGTACATCGATAATTTCAATAACAGTCCAAATAGATTAAAGTATTAGCATTTTCTAAGTAATAAAAAGTAATTGGTTTCTGCATCTTACAGCAGATAAAATTTATTTGTAGTAATGGATGTTTAAATTTTGATAACTTGAAACCTTTCTATTTTATTGAGCAAACCACTATTATATTTACCCTTGGTCACAATGATTTGTGACTTTGTGCTAGCAGGACTATGACTTTCAAAATGATCCACCAATCCAATCCAATTTCATGCACAAGACTTGGGTTTTGGATAAGATTTTCAGGTAGTTTCTAAAAGGTGTCACATGTTGAGATAACTTCACCAGACTGATAAAAATCAAGTCATCTTCCTGACAAATCAACCAGTCAAGATTCAAATCCAGGTCTCATGGTCAGAAAGCAAACATTCGAACCACTTGGCCACTCATTTATTCATTTTGTTTAAAAAATTATTTGGATATCAACTGCATACAGATATTTAATAAGTCAAGGCATCCATCAAATATTGAACCCATACAATGATATTAGCTTACTAACTATTAAAGTATACCAAATTTAAAGACTATATACATCTCACACAATATGCCTGCTGCTTCCTAGAAATATTTAAAAAAATGATTTTGTAATTATGATTTTGCATTCTCTGCAGATCACAATGAGCACCCCCCCAAAAAAAAAATTAAAAGGTTTCTTAATGTGTGTGTGTGCTTAAAAATACAAATAAAATCTACAGGTATAAATTTATTTTTAAATTCACTAAATAAAAAAAAAAAAGAAGTTCACTGCAATCGAAAGTAGTCATAAGTGAAAACTATTATGCAAGTCATTTATATGAATTATTGACAAAGAATTATTGTGCAACAAATCAACATCGAAATGATTCAATGCCAAAAAGATAAAAAAAAAAAAAATTCACTTCTGAGCTAGTGAATAAAAACAAAAGCAAATGCACAATGATGGCTGTCTATGTAGGATATTTATTACAACACAAAATACAATCTGCAATGTATACGTGGAGAGGAAGAGGAGTGGGTTGCAGGGTAGGGGGTTATATGCCTGAATGAGGGCTACAGTCATCACCTGTGTATATTGCTTTTAGCGTACACACGGTTTCATTTAGAAACAGGTTCAAGACAGAACCTTTTTTTAATATCTTCTTGATGAGAAATAAAGCAGGATGTTTCTTGAATTTGGAACCTGGCTTCTGAGACAAAAATAAAATTCAAGTAAATCCAGATTACAGAAAGTAAATAACAGTATTACATTTAACAGGAGACAGTCTACAAGGAGACAAAAACAAAAGTTATAAAAAGAAAAAATCTTTTACATAGAAACACCATGTAAACCCCAGCTTCACAAGAGGGCAGGGGGTAAAGAAGAGTGGAAATCAATTAAGATGGACTGTTGGGGTAAAGAAAAAAGTGAATCTGAGTAGGGGTGCAATTTTTTTTTTTTTTTTTTTAAACCAAGGCATTTCTGAAGAATTGACCTTTGTCAATAATGCATTCTTAAAATAAATAAATAAATAACATTGTAAAAACCTGTCACAACTTATATGTACAGAAAATGAGAAAGGCCAATAAGCAATGACTGGTCTTTAACATCTCTTGAAATGACATTTACAACTTAACATTTTTTTTTTTTTTACCTTTTTATTACAGAATTACATTAGAGTAATCAGGATGTGGGAAAACATTGTAGAAAAAATCTGATCCTTGCACTTGGTTGGATTTTCCTTAAAAAAAAAAAAAAAAAAAAAAAATCATTTTTCTAATTTCATATTTTGAACAGACATTTGTAAAGAAATGAATCTGATCCATAGAAAATAAATATGAAATAATTCCACTATTTAATATGCTGATTAAAAACCAAGTTTAAAGAGTATTCGTGGACCGCAGATTAAGCAACAATACCTAACCCATCTTTTTTCAAATTGTACATTTTCCCAGGCCAAATTGTTTCATGAAATGATTTTGCCATATCGGACTTAATGTCAAAAAACTCCCAAAACAATTTCATGAAAGCTAGCAACCAAAGAAACAATTTATGGTAACAATGATTGCAGCTGTTAAGCAAAACATCTATATTGCTGCAAACCCCATTTATTTTAGTAATTAAATTTGATGTTGTCATTTATCTAAAGTATGCTTAAAATAAAATTATAATGGGACCAAATGAAAACTCATACTGGTATTTATATCATTAAAAAAAAAAAAAAAAAAAAGAGAAGAAACATTTCTACCTAACAAGAGAATCTGGAAGATATGCCCAGATCAAACATTCTAGAGTAATGGTGGATAAACTAAATCTCACAGACTATAGCAATATTGCTCTTCACTTGAGATTTCACATTTGTGGCCTTGGACCAGACTAAGCTTAACCAAGAATTTTCATATGTACAAATTTTACTTACATGTGGATCATTTAAAATTTCAATCAGGTGGCTTTCTTCAAATAGAAAACCCAACAGAACCAATTTCTAATGGCTTTGTTTCTCCAAAGTAATTTTTAAACTCAAAAAACAATTTTATATTGGCATATTTTTGTTATCTCCTATGTTATACATAATTATATACTAGTTGTCCAAATATTTTGAAATACTGCTTGGCTATCTATCACAACTATACCATTTTAAAATGTTATCGGGCACTAATTAAATGAAAATTTCCCCAAACTAAATTCAGGACCTTCATTTTGTCTAGGCTACATTTAACACAGAATTCAATTGTATTAGAATATACAGAAAGAAATACAAAATAAATTTTTTTGCTAATACAAGTTTAAATTCAGTTAAGATCTAGTAGAAATAAATCCTCTGAAGTTTCATAATGTAAGCATATCATGTAATGTATCTTTTCGTATAATTTGTGCTTTTCAGATACAATGAGTGAAAGTTGTTTTCTGTTTTCTCAAACAATCGTTTATTATCGCCAATTGATTATATGCAAATTGCGATAATTGGATGATTCATTAAGATTGTTAAAGTCAAGAGATATCTGGAAAATAAAACTCAAGTAAAATAAACAGAGGAAATGAAAAATGATTCAAAGGAGAGCCAACCAATGCAAAGTTTAACAAAATCCATGCTATATAAAAAAAAAAAAAAAAATCAGTAGTTATTTGAATTTGCTTTTCTGTAAAAATGCCATGATTAAATTTTTAATATATATTTAAAAAAAATATTTATTCTGGATAAGACAAGTTTGTGCATAATGGTTTGATTAAAAAAAAAAAAAAAAAAAAAAAAAAAAATTAGTACCTTCAATTAAACTAAGCCCCCCTTATTCACTACAATCAATCTTATCAAGGCAATAATCTGTGAATTTTTTTTTTGATATGTTCAGAATGGGTTTTTAAAAATACTATGCAATACTGTCTTCAGAAGACTCATAAAATAACACAAAATCAAACCGGTATATATTTTCTCAATTCTTCACTTTTACATAATAGATAATATTGCACAATAAAATTACACAGTATGAAAGACTTCAGTGTAAATTGTGCAAAAATAGATTTTCAGAGAACAACCTTTTACAAAGAAATCTTTTACTGCCAGCAGAGGATCAAAATTATGAACAGCTGAGCCTTCAATGTCTCTAACCCAGCCATTCCTCCGTAGAGAGGTAAAGTAGACAGCTTCAACCAATACATGATGTCTACAAAGAGGAAGAACATGTTAGCCACTGTCCACTCAATCACTATAGACATTGATAAAGGCCTACTGGAAGAAGTACTAGAAATAATTTAAGGAATCCTACCTGCCAACAGTCAGGAGCTTTCTATCAAAGATTGTGTAATGATCTGAAGGATTGTATATTTAATATTAAAGAATATTAAGGTGCTACAATAATGTAAAATAATGATATTGACTGTTAGGTGGGGACTCAGTAATGTAACTTCACAGAAGGAAAGTGAAGGTAATTAAAGCATGAATGATAGAGAAAAAAAGGTGGGAATACAAACCAATATCATCCGAGTAAACAAAAAAATACATTGTCTCTGTGTTCAACATTACAAACTGGAACAAAGGTAAAAACTCTTCATGAAAACAAAGTGTTCCTCTCTTTCTTATCTTCACTGCCTTAAAGGGCTCAAAAGCTATCTAAATATTTTTTGTAAAAATTGTTTTTTGTTTGATTTTTTGTTCAATTTGAAATGTCAGTGAAGATTTATATGGCTAACATAGACAAAAACTGATGTACAAATACACCAAGTTTGACAATGATTATTAATGTTCATTCTCTCTCTTGTTTATGCAGTTTTTTTTTTTTTTAAAATCACTTTATCAAGTAGAGCATTTTACTTTTCTCTAAATGTAACATTAAGAGATTTGCTAGCTTGAATATTCTTAGATTTAATATTTCACTATTTAATGTAATGTTTTTTTTTTTGTTTTTTTTTTTTTGGTATTTGGTAGGACATGAACAATTTTTTTTCAATTTCATATATTTGGTAGGTATTTTCAGTTTATGAATGAACAGTTTGTAAAATAAAAAATAGGTGAAGCTGAGACAAAAAAAAGGGAATATACAAGCTAGGGATAAACTAGTTTAAATAGATGATCAATGTACTTACATATATGGTGAACCAACAAAACAGGTGGGGGAGGAAAAACAATATTTTTTTTAAAAAAGTTTTTGCATTTGCACATTTATAAAAAAATTGTTTCTTTAATTGTGCAATAATACATCATTCTCACCGCAAATATGATTTTCTTTTAGATTGAAAAGAAAAACTTTTAAATCCTGAACGAAGCCTTTAGAAAATTTCAAAGTTTTAAGTAATATCCTCATTTTTCTTCCTAGGCTAGCTTTGCTATAACAATGGGTCGAGGAAGAAAATGGATGAAGATGCCATGGGATCAAGGGAAATGAAGCATTAAATGTGTATGTGTTGGCTGACACATACAGTTGACAAGAACAAGTTATGTACAAACACACAAAATAATTTCAAGTTTGCACAAATCAGCAGCTTCTATAGTTAATTGTTATGTGGGAGGTGAAATCCAGAATAAGTGATGTGTGTTTAAACACATCCAAATATCCTTTTTCATTCAGAACCTAACAGCAACTTTTATCATAAATACAATAATAAAAACCCTTGATACCAATACAAGAGAAACCAGCACTGATTAGCAACAATTCCAACTGATATTTATTACATCCTTGCACAAGGACTTGCTTCTAACCCATTTTTTCTTCTTTTTAAAGTGAGATTTTCTATAAGGAAAAAAAAAGTCACTATATTAATGTGTATGTAAATCATGAATACATGAACAATATGGCAGGCCACATTACAGAAAGATATGTTTAAAAAGCGGTGTGTGTATTTTTGTCAATGACTTGCCTATCTTAATGACAATAGTCATAGGTTTTGAACATATCTGCATACTTTATATGTATACAAGCATATAAATGATTTTATAATGTAGGGTTCAAAATGCTTGCCCTCAATACTTGATCATACTGGAGGTGCCATAGCTTGAGCCATACTGGAAAATTTATAAAACAAGAAATTTACCCAAGACATCTAGTCTAGAAAAATGTCAAAACTTGACATGGCCTGATTTCTTTTCTTTTTTGGAAAAGCTACAAGGCTTGAGGTTCTTTATACATATTAAAATTTACTTTTTCTTTTCCAAGTAGAAAATTTTGTTTTTACATTAATATAATACAGACAGGGACATAAATTTGCCCAACACCATAAAAAATAATTTTTAAAAGTGTACCCCATCAAAACTAGAATGACCAGCTCTTTACTGGAAAAACTAGAACGTCAGTGGATATATATATATATATATATATATATATATATATATATATATATATATAACACACACGTCTACTTACATGTATTGTGATTGAACTCTTTACAATATAAAAAATGCGAATAATAAATGGGGAAAATGAACACTATAATAGATAATGAGGCACGAGAAATTTGCCCAAGAATTTATTCACTAATTTGAGCCATATGGCAAGTTTCTTATTGAAAAAGCTACAAAAAAAAAAAAAAAAAAAAAAATATCCTTAAAAATTATGGAAAAATTAATGTGTGTGTGTGTGTGTGCACATGCTAGATTTTTCTAAGGTTTTAATATTTCATTTCTTTCTTTAAATTCCACTGGGGCAGGGCATGAGAAATAAAATACTATGGATGAATTGTCAAGACTGAACCATATTAAAGCTCATATGGTCAGGCAGATATTGAACAAACTTTAGAATTTTGAATGTTAGCCCAAATTATATGAGTGTTTGGAAATGTTTATACTTGAGCCCATGAAATAGATACAGAAAATTAATCAGGAAATTATTTTTGGCAACTGTCATGTTATTTCACAGTTAATTTTTCCATTGTATTTTTTTTCTCATCATAATCTTGACTTGCGCACAGAAGATTGGAGAGTGTGGATGGGTGGGTGGTCAAAGCTCGAATTCACTCTCTCTGTCTGCCCTGGGTGACATCATTCCATCCAGGCGTCCAGGGAGTCGTCAGAGCCGACGCAGCTGCAGAACCGGATGTCCAGTTGCCGTAGTTGGAACTCGTGGCCGCCGCCGCCGGTCGCCAGGTAGGGAGATTGGCTGGCACAGGAGATGGCTGTTGTGGAGGTGGAGGTGGTGGTGCTGTTGTAGTCGAAGTATGATGTTGGTGTTGCTGGGGTTGTTGCTGCTGCTGTTGTTGTTGTTGTGGCTGCTGCTGTGGTTGCTGTTGTGGTTGTTGCTGCTGCTGTGGTGGTGGTGGTGGTGGTGGGGGTGGCGGTGGTGGTGGTTGCGACTGGGGTTGTGGTTGAGGCTGGGGCGGTGGCTGGTGCTGATGGTGATGATCATGTTGGTGATGATGGTCATGCTGACGGTGGTGTTCATGCTGGTGATGCTCGTGTGGTCGATGATGTTCATGCTGATGATGGTGGTGATGGTTGCCACTGTTATGGTGTTGGTGGTGCTGATGATGGTGTTGGTGGTGCTGATGATGGTGATGCGATGAGGTTCCACCACCACCCTTACATGTAGGCTTGTGGTGGGCATTCCCATGACCACAGTTAGATGGTGTGTTTTGGTTGTGACACTGTGGCTGGTGGTGGTGATGCTGGTGCTGGTGATGGTGATGGGGTTGTTGGTCATGGTGGTGGTGATGGTGGTGATTGTGATGGTTGTGGCCATGATTGTGGCCATGATTGTGGTTGTGGTTATGGTGGTTGTGATGGTGGTGGTGGTGGTGGTGGTGTGGGTGGCCAGGTGTTGCAGACTTGCAGGAATCTTGGTGGCAGTTCCCACTGTTGCCATTGCCATTGTTGTTGTTGGTAGTAGTGGTGTTGATGCTGGTGTTACCACTGTTTCCAATGGCCGGAATACCACCCCCTGGGGACGACAGGTGGGCCTGGCTGTGCTTCTTCAGGTGCGCACGCTGCGAAAACGACTTCTGGCAAATCACGCAGAGAAATGGTTTCTCACCACTGTGGGTACGGCTGTGGTTGACCAGGTGGTCCTTTTGGCTGAACCGTTTGGGGCACTGACTGCAAGCGTACGGGCGGATTCCGGTGTGGATGCGCGAATGAGTAGTCAGATGAGTACGTTGACCAAATGACTTTCCACAAACATTACACGTGAATGGTCTGACCCCCGAATGCGTGCGGAGATGGTTGGTCAGTTTCTCACGTTGGCTAAAAGCTTTGTGGCATTGGTTGCAATAAAAGTGTTTCTCTTCATCCGCCATCAACTCATGCTTGTGTAGGTTCGCCTTCACCGAGAAGCCTTTCCGGCACACATTACAGCGATACGGCTTGCGGCTGCTGTAGCCCGTATAAATGCCATAACTGACGGCACCCCCAAGGGGTGTTGACATGCGCGGCTGGGTGTGCTCCGTATCAGGATTGCTGCTACTACTGCCGTCCCCACCACTATTGTTGCCAGCAGTATTATCACTACCATTGCTACTGTTTCCGCTGCCAGATGGTATATTCTGGTGATTGTGACCAGTGGCACCATCACCGTTATTAGTGTCATTGCCATGCAGCTTTGGCCGGCCTGGAGAAGGTCCATTTTGAGCAGGGCCCTGCGAGTACATTTTGCCACAATTATTGTACTGGAATTGTTGCTGCTGATCAGCAGTACCTACTGATTGGTAGACATTAGACTGTGTAGGGTACATAGCTGGGGATTGGGTGGGCTACAACAAGCTCTTCAGGCTACAAGAACTCGGCATCGATGTTGGCTTTTTAATGTACAACCAACAACCACAAATGTTTGAGGAAAAATCTGTCAAGCAACTACAAATTCTTCAGTTTCTATTTTTGTAAAAAAAAAAAAAAAAAAAAAATTTCTCTTAAAGTCTTTTTGCATCAACCGAGTTATTTTGTATTTATTTTCCCCACTATTTTTTTGTCAGTATTTTTCCTTCAGAATATTTTAAGTTTTCTTTCACCAAACTTCACTTGTCTTCTTCCTTAGATATATGCCAGATTTTAATTTTTTCCAGAATTTTCAGTTTTTAAAATAAAACTATCATGAATAAGAAAATCTTCAAAAGATGAATTTAAAAATGTTTTTCCCTTTTCTAAAATGTAGCAAAATAAATGAAAATTAAAAAAAAAAAATTATCAAATATATATAATTTATAAATTCTTCCAAGATTTGTGTCCTAGCATTCAGACTGGTTATTAAACAATACTTTAGTATTAACTGTTTTTTTTTCAGCACACTTTTCACTACAATCATATGTATATCAGATATTAAAAGAAATTCAGTTAATGCAGAATGTTAAAGTTAATGCCACTCTCTTCCAATGTTTGATAACTGAATAAACAAGTATGACAAGTCTTTAAAAATAAAACAAAAAAAAAAAAAAAAAAAAAAGATTGGCAAAGTGTTTTTTTCCAAGAGTAAAGACAGTTTTGTCTAAAAGATAAAAATAAAATCTCTTCAAAATGTTGTTCTCAGATTTTTTTTTACTCAAGGAATGAAATCAAATTTTGTTAATTCTTTTAGCTCAAGAACAGATCTTGGCATACACACTGTCAGTAATTCTAATTCCAGGAGTAATTTACCTTGACTTATTGAAAAAGTCTGAATCACTCACGAGGTCAACGGATCATCCAGAATTCAAATACAAGCATTTCACTTTTTGAAGTTTATACAGACTGTTCTGATATTTGCACTGGTCAAGTGGCAAAACCAAGGCCTTGGTAATATTACTGGTAACTTCCTTTGTTCAACATCATGTCAATATTGTCATAAGAAAAAGGCCGGACGAGACATGTAGAGTAGGATGACACAAGAACGAAGATGACAAAATAATCTGTAAACTCCAAGATCAGGACCTGGAAGATAAAATTAAAATATGAATACACCCACAATATTTTTAACACAGAAAACTACAATTGTTAACTACAATTGAATACAACAGGTGTCAAAGGATTACAGCATATTTCTTACAATGCACACTTTTCAGTATTTTGAAGAAAACAAAAAAAAGAACCATGATCACAGAGGTCAAGATTTAAGGTGAATGATCATACCTTTGATCACCAAAAAACAGCCTCCACAATAAAATTTTATGTGTAGATTACTACTTTATCCATCTTTTCTCTGAAAAACTCAATATACAAAGTATTCAATCATTTGCATGTGTATTTTTGTTTGAAAACTCACAAAATTTAAAAATTATTTCACCATCCTTTATTCAGTTATATAAGTCATTAATCTAGAAGTCAGTCCTTTTACAAAAGTAATTGGTTTACATGAACTGTTTTCTACTAAATCAACAAAAAAAAAAAAAAAAAAAAAAAATTAAATTGACAATCATAAAAGATATCAATTGAATTTGGCCAATTTTTCCATTAGTTTACATCTTTGGAAGTTGTATATTGATGTCTTTATAATCCAAATAAAAAAATTTTTCATTATAAAATTGGCCTTGAGATTCTGGATTGAACTAAATAAAACATTATTAAAATGAGAGAAATGATTTACTCATGAACACAACAAATATTGAACCAAAATATGGAGGCAGCAACATCCTATGGATTTTAATTGAGTAAAACAAACTATAATTAATGATTGCTCACACAAGAAAAATGAGCTTGGTAAATATCTGCAAGTTGATGAGGCTATGCATGTCTTGGTATTCAAACATCTGTGAATATCATCAAAACATAAGGTTTGAAAGTTACGTCATAACCAGCATAAAAATATCAAAATTTTACTTAATATGTAAATATGCCATTAAAAACATTTTTATAAAATAAATTAGTTAATGTTTTTTTTTTGTTTATTTTATAATTTTATTTTTTAAATTATTTTGTTAAAAATGTTAGTTCAGTTTCAAATTATAAGAAACTAGGAAAATATTAAGATTTTGAAAGTGCAATTAAATAGAAAAAAAAAACAAGATCAGTAAAAATGAAGATTCCCACCCATCTCCACAATCAGAGTGACAGGAATTTTAAAATTCTCCTACTCCAAATTCAATCTGTTTTGAGAAAAATGTAGAAGTAAAATGAGTTTCCTCTCTTCTGATTTGTATTCTGTACAGGTTTGATCATTTAAGCCAGTTTTTAAAGGAAAATCAGTTGTATATAGATAAAAAAATAGAAATTGGCTAAAGTATTTTATTATTTGCTAGATGATGTTTGTTATGTGCTGTAAGGCATCACATATGAGCTATATATATATATATATATATATATATATATATATATTTTATATATATATAAAGAAAGCCGTGTTTTTAAAACCCAGTAATTTTAAAAGTTACTCCAAAATTCGCTTGAGGATGAAATGGAACTAATGTCTTTAATTTAATTGCAAAATTAAATTCGTGGCTTTTAGCTTCCATTTTTGAAACATGGTTAGAACTGTGTAGGGAAAAAAAACATTTTAAATTAATTTATATTTTGTTTTCATAATTATTTTTATTTTCAAGAGCCTATCATGATATTTTATTCTCTTTACACAAGAGAAATAAATAATAAAGAAAAGTAACAATGCCATAAAATTGATATCACTTCATTACTTAACAATGACAACCTACCATTTTGTGTACAGCTATACAATAAGGCCTGTGCAATACAAATGTGCTTATTGGTCATCATTTAAATGTTAATATATGATCAGCTAATAAACATCATATAGGTTGGTTTGTTAATTACCACACTGTCACTCCTGAACCTACCTATGCATGAATATCAAGTCTTGAATAATTTAACTTGCTTGAACAAGAAGATTCTTGCTACATTTAAGTTTTAAATCAACAAAATATTCTAGAAATAATTTATAAAGAAATTTGAGGAAAGATTTTTAGTCAAATTCTTTGATTATTTTTATGCATTGTCTTGTTTCTAATTTCATAGAAATATTCCTTAAAAAAATAAAATCATGAAAACTTATTTACATGCAGACTATTGTTCTCATTTTTGTTGTTATTATGTTTTGACAATTGTATAATCCAGCCTTCAACAGATACTTTTTAATCCAAGTAAACTTCAGGGAATTTTGAACTAAACCCTTTATTTGATCTATACAGGGTAGATTTTTCACATTCCACCAACCATATCTAGGAATATCTCATCTAGTTCTTATTTCACATAGCCTAGAAGATTAAAGTGCTGGTTCATGAATTTGGTGAATTATTAAATTGTAAGTTCAATCCCTGGGCTGGGGAGTGTCTGGACTCAATGAAAATGAGGTGAGCAATAACCAAGTAGCATGTACTAAATAAGAACTAAACAAGATATACCTAGACATGGTCAGCAGAACAAGAACAATCTCCATAAATTAAATAGAGGGTTCAATTCAAGATTCCCTGAAGGTTACCCAGATCAACAAGCACCTGATGAAGGCCAACAGCCAAAATATTGTGATAACAAAGATGAGGACAATAGAGCATATGTAAATAATGTACATAATGATAACTTGTCATCCAAGAAATTCAGACAGAAAATGAAAACTTATATGCAAACATATACAGCAACATGACATCAACATCACATTATCTGCTCTCACAACCTTAAAAGCGGCTTTTGTCCAGAGAAATGCAATATAACTATGCATAACGAACTAATGAATGTATATCACAAAGAATATATACCACTAAAGATGAAGAACTTAAAAATTTATTTATAAATGGAACAAGTGGACCAAAACACTGAACTACATGAAATACACACATACAAAATGAAAACAATGAGTTCTGAAACCTGAAAAATGATAATACCAAAAATGATGACAATATCATAAAAATTAACCATTTGCTGAAATGTTTTTTTCTAAAAAATTTTTTATTATCATCATCATCATTTATAATATCATTACTTTTCCAGATTTTTATATATGTCAGTAAAACTGTAAAAATTGTCAGATTTGAAGATGAACTCAATTCAGTTGTTATAGTTTTAACTAACAGCTTTAATTTCAGGAAAAAAACATTAGTCAGGAAGAAATTTGCAGTTAATTATAACAATTGAGTTCAGTTTTAAAATTTTTAATTTCTGAAACTGAAATATTTTATGATGTATTTGTACACTCATGAATAAAACTGATATTTCTGCTTTTACTATGTTCCCTAAACTGAAACAATTTTAAGAAAGGTTTATGTCTATTGAAATAGGTCATAAATAAAATGGTCACCAAGGTAATCATATTTTATATATGGCCTATTTTAACATAAAACAAAAGCAAATAGGACCAAATTTGATCCTATTTTGTTTTTTAAATACAATAAACTAACAATATTTTCTTCGTATATGAATATTTGATTTTATTCTGAAATAATTCCACCTTTTGTAAAAAAAAAAAATGAATCAAATCTAAGATCCTTAGCAGAAACGAACGTCCTGAAGCTTTCAATTTTTTTTTCTTTTAATCCCCTTTTATGAGAGGCTATAATGATAAAATTACAATGCCAATCTTGTCTTTAATATTGGTTATCGAGAGAAAGACTTCAAAGGAAGATTAACCGCGTCTAATTTTGAAATCTTTGCACGACAAATTTACTTGTTTACAAAAAATCTAATCAGAATAAATGTTAAATAAATATCACCTTCTGTCCACAAAGCAAAGCTCCTTCCT